AGCAGTCACACATGACCTGCTTTGCATGTCTCATGCCCTCATTAAATCAAGCCCAAAGCCTTTAACCTAAGCAAATAGTTGGCTCTGGGACAGCCCATAAGGAAATAGGTAAAACAAAACACTTACCTGAAGTGTTTTGGAGTGAAGAATACTCAGCTGGAAATCAATGATTTTTTCCAACAGTAGAGAATTCAAGAGAAAACCTGGATGGACAAGCTTCTGAAGAATATTACTTTGAATTTGCTGGCAAAACTAATCAGCAACAAGCATTCAAATATACACGATTATTTCATCAACCGCAGCTCTACAAGCTGTAAGATTTCCTGCTGTGAACATCAGTAGGAACCCACTGGACATCAGAAATGTGAAGGGAATGGTTCCTCAGCTGAGTGTATGCTCAGCCACACCCCAGGTGCTGCACGTCCCAGCAGCAGTGCTGCTCGCTTAGCATATGGCTGCAGATGATAGTTCAGAAGTTATGAATCAGCATTGCGTAGTTATACAGGTGATACACAAGGCAATTTAGAGCAGGAAGCCATCACTTCCAATGCTCCAAAACTGTATTTCTGATTTTTTATGTCTCTTTCCCCCACAATTATGTTTTCCTCTGACTTCATCTGCTTCTGCTTTGATTTTGAGCAGTTATTGAAGAATGTGAGCTACCTGAGGATGTATGGGTATGGGGTACAGATGGGTGCCAGGTGCTCTGTTATGTGTGAGCACAGTTCTATCATCTGCTCATTAAGGCTGAAACATCATGTGCTAAAATGAGTGACCAGCCACATGCCACAGCTGACTAACTACTGGGCAGGTATTTATTCTATAAAATGGAAAACAATGCTGAAATCCATAAGGTACTTACAAGTCAAGGCAACAAGTCTGCAAAGCACAGCCCACTCTAGACTTAGGATCCAGAACAGGTTTGACTGTAGCAACTCAATTGCGTGATTCCATAACAGAACCCTTTAAGTCATATCAAGCACAGTACAAATACATCCCCTGTGCTTCTGGACCCAGTGAGCACATCTCCACACTTGTATTGTAAAGGCACCCCTTATATCAGATGCAACTAAGAATGCCAGGTTTTGGTGCATGATTGGAAACACTATGGCACTTTTACAGCACATGGCAACTTCTAGTCATCAGGTTTCACTCCTAGAGTCAGTGAAACACCTCCACTGCTTCTCATTACCCTATGAAGTCCTTCCATAAAACTAAGTTCTTCAAGTTCACTGTCTTTTCCAAAACAATAAAAACTGAATGTCACAATAAGTTTGCAGATTCTAAGAGCAAAACCTCAATTTCTCCATGTAAGAACCAGACAGTAGATATTCGCACAGCTTTCAATCACAACCAGAGGAACAAAACTAAAGAGACAAGCTGCCCTTGTAGGCAAAATTCACAATAAGGCCTTCATTTGCTCTTTGACAAAAATCTTTAGAGATACTTAGATTGCTGAGATTATTCAATGGGCTTGGAAAGAGTCAGGGAAATGCAACAAACCTCAATGGCCTCCTTTGCAAATTTAATGGCTTTCCTTTCTCTGTGATTCAATTACTGAGAGAAACCTAACCCTCCCCCAAGCCGTCACCTTTGATCAGAGCAGGTATCCAATGCTGTTCAGTTTAGGTACATTTTGTGCTTTTTTCTCATGCAAATGTAAATTGCTGTAGACCAGATGGCACTTTTGCCAAATTCGTTTCATAGATTTTAGTCTGTTTTCTACCTTTCACCTAAAAGGAGTATTATGTACACGGAGATTGCTTTTCTGTGAGAAGATAATGAGAGATTTGTTTTCTTTCAAAAGTTACAAGATTAGATCTAGCTTGAAATAATTCCACTGAAACCTGTAGCATTACATCAGTGATTATTTAATTGCATCATTTGATTAAAATAATAGAATAACAAAGACAATCTGTATTTCAGCTATTAGTATTGTGGTGAAGTTGCATCGTTTTTAGCAAAATATTTACACTAATCATCATCAAGTTTAGCCAAATATTTCATGCTCCAAATTAGTCCTGCAAGACCCACAAAATCCAATCCAACCCCAAGGCTGAAGCTGATCTCCTAAGCTTGAAGAATCAGTTTGCACATGAGGCCTTTTTCATGTACAGAGTTGCAAGTAAATCTTTGCCTTGTTCCTGGTCTGTGAAGGCTTGCTAGCAGAGTGGTTCAAAATACCTTACCAGCTCCCAGGTCCTAGTTTTAATCAAAATGCACAGGTACACGCACACACACACAAAAAAAATAAATGAACACTTACACTGTCTATATTCAGCCATAGCTGGGAGTTAGAAATTGAATTTGGGCTTCGGTGCCTGCAGAAAGATTGGGGGTAAGACTATAAAAGAGATACATTGAGTTAAATTTTCCTTATTTTAGAATTCCTAATAAGGATAATCCCTAGCTACAGCAAATCAAACAATTTATGAGCTTCTGTTCTTGTTCAGTGGATTATTCTTTAATTCAATTAAAATAAAAACAAACTCTAACCAAGAGTGTTTATCTGTTTGTACCTCTTTAAGTAATCTCATTAAACCGGTATGTGATGGCTTGTGGAACCTGACCCACAAGTACAGAGGGAGCAGCCTATTTAACAAGATGCAATCCTTCTGATGCTTCAGATCCATGTTCAAGTTCATTATCTGAAACAAAACACAGACTTTTACTGGCTTTTTAAGCTTTCTTTAGGGCTTTGAATAAGTTTGCCAGAATTAGAAGTCACTCCAATTATGTATTAATATTTTCACATCTTTGTAGATTCACCTTCACACCATCATTGCTGGGCAAGAATTAGCATCCCTTACAAAGTGCACTGTATCTATAGCCTTGTTGCAAGGTCTGTAGCATTAGCTAAGACTCCTCATGGTCTGGATTTAGGGCAGCGAATGCTCTCGTGGAGGTGGGCCCACACATCTCACTGGTTCTTCTCTATATGGAGCACCCACAGAACTGAACCCGCATAGTTCAATATTTCAGTTTAAGATCAGAGCTGCTGTGCTCTTCTGTTCCACTCCTTCCTGCAAAAACCTTTCTACTGCATGACCCCCCTAACCCAAAAGCCACTTGGAAGAAGACTCACATTAAATTCTGCCAGAAATGAAGCAGAATTAAACTCTTCCCAAATGGAAAACTTCACAGAAGGGGCCACTAAACTCAGCTCAGAGGAGCCACAGGACTGGACCCATCACTTGTCATTTTTACGACTTGTCATTTTTCTTTAGTTCTGCAAAACAGCAGCATCACACTCAAGTCCTTTTCCTAGGTCTGTCACCACAAACAGGATGCTACGGGTCACATGAAAATCTACTATGACTGTCATGTGGCAAACACACAGCATGTGTCATAGTGAAGGCAAACTCCTTTGAATGCTCTGTACAGCGGTGAATTTTACGCTGTAAAATAATGTGATGTTTAATATAGAAGTGTGATAAATATACACTTACATAATGTGATATTTAGTGTATATTTTACAGTCCTAAATACACTTACCATGGTGTGGTGTAACTATAGTACAATGGAAATAAGAAAAATCTCACCTAGACTCATCTGTGAGCATTTAGGAAAAATAAGCATGAGATAATTCCAACGGTGGCATATGATGCTGAAATTACTTCTGTCCATCCTCATGGCACAAAACATTGACCTTTTCAATAACTCACTTTAAGACAAACATCTAATTCCTATAAAGATCTTTTCACTGAGTTCTCTAAGGCAGCTGTGATTTTGTCACTGCAGAAATTCTACATTTTCATAAGAAACTTGGAAAAGAGAGAAATTATGTCAGTCATACACCTTCAGCAGGTTTCTGTTATTTCCAAGATCTGCTAAAAACAAACACCACAGACTAAAGAACTCACATAGCAGCAACACAGTCCCATCTAAGGGAAGGGAATTGCTTTTCTATAACTTTTTTTTTCCCTCCCACAAGGACAATACTGGCAGGCTGAGATTTAACCAGAGATGGGCTCCTTTTACAAGATTGCTTATATAAAGCGGAGATAACACCAGCTGGGTTCATTTGAAAGAGGACATCTTGGGAAGAGCCGGCAAAGCAGCTACTGGAATAAGACCGCAATGAAAATCTGAAATACTTAATCCCCTCCTCTCTTGTAGGTATTGTACTTCATTTACAGCAGAATGCATAGGATTATAATTAGAAGGGGTTGCCTCTGAAATGTCGTGCGTGTGCTTTTTATAAATGTATTTAGAAAGAGGATGAGTGAAAATGCTGAAATTGATTTCTTTTTGTGGGAATACTTAATGGGCAGGACTTTCTTCTTTACCTAAATTATACTGCTTAATTCTGACACTGTGCTCAGTAATGCAGATATGAGGGCAGATGCTGGAGAGTGTCTCTAAGGGCAAAAATAGGAGCACAGCAGTGCACCTGTGGGGTGCTCCGTGCTGAAGCATGTTTCTGCTCTCAGGAACCAGCTGGCAGGGCTGAGGCCTGCAGTGGAGATGGAAACAACAGCCACACAGGATAATTACTGCTAAATTTACAGTTTTCAGAACAGAAATTGTAACAGTTAAAAAAGTTAACAAGAAGTTAAGATTATATACATCAGGATAGACATCAACACAGAATAATTTTTGCATTACATTATTCAACACAGTATGTATGTTAGTTGCATAGTATTTCTTCTAGTAATTTTTATTGTCTCTTTTTTCAGCTCTCATTGTTTCAGTTTCCTTTAGTTATACTAACATTTCAGGTTTAGATTCTTTGAAAGAACAAAAATATCCTAGAGTAACTTTAAATCAGCTCTAAACTGAAATAGTAGAACTATCTAGTAGTGATCCATCGATAACAGTGTCTTGGAAATTCATGTCTTTTTGATGCAATGAAATTGGCTGACAATATCAGCAATCTTATTTATTTCTCTCTGCAAGACTGACAAGTTTAAATAGTAGTAAGTTTAACAGTTTCATGTCTTCCAGTTGAGAAGACAAATTCATCTTTTTTCCCCTGTGTCCTCAGGTCATTGCAAGAAATGGTGGCTGTTACTATTTATCTGATGGTCATCTTGGCTCAAGCTTTTGCGGGGCCCTGCACTCCAAACAAAGCAGGTAGAATTACTCAAGTCTCCCAAGCTCTGCTCTTGTATTTTATCTGCCAAAGTGTTGTTTTCCATTTAAAGCTGATTGTTTTTTCTTTTTTTTTTTCCCTTTAGAGTTAAACTGTAGGTTCTGGAGAGTTAACCCTCATATTTCTTTTATCAATTTATTTCTAGCTAGCATAGTAAAGCATGCACTACTAAGGTTCTACCTCCCTATAGAGTTAGGATGCTTAACTCTGCAATAACCACAGTGCAATAAAGTTAAGCATGAATAGAATTCAGATGTAAGATGGCAAATGAAAGAGCAGCAATTAGAAATTGGCCAAAATAGCCACAGTTAGTGCTGCTGACCTCTGCTGCCTGAGCTGGGTTTTAGCCCTCCTGACTGCAGTCTGATGACTGGTGCTGAGTGAGCGAGCTGGGCTGAGCTTCTGAACACCACTGCTATATTTAAAAACATAATGATCATCATTGAAGCCGAGGCTCTAATTACACTCTGATTTCTGCCTAGATGCTCAAATGATCTCATGCCAGACAAAATTTCAATGTAGAATTAACTAAAATTAAGAAACATACTTTAAGAAAGTGTTGGAATATGCCTCAATAGAGAGTCTTTGCACTGAATGTGTGGCATTTTTGTATATAATAATAGACCAGCGTATGCTGCTGCCAGTAACTTCATGGTATATTTTAAGTATTTGGCCCTCTCTCTACCAATTTCAGTGCCCTCTCTTGCACAAGGAGTTTCTCAGAGCTAAGGAGCTTCCACAGTTGTGAAGTCACCATCTCTGACCACCAACACAGGCAGAACAAGTCTGCATTTGTTGATTTGAAAGAAGTAACCTAGCAAGGTCCCTACATGATTTTCCACACATAAATTCCCCAACTCCTGTGTATTCCCCAAACTCCTGCAAGCACAGGAAGGCTGAAGAGTCAGGCTTTTATCATAAAGATGAGAGTGTTGGAAGTTTTAAAATAGACAAGCAGTTCTGGACAGAGTGTTTTTTAAGGCAGTAATTGGCCTTCTTTCCCAATTTTCAGTTCACTAGTGTTTAGTCAGTATTTCCTTTTGAATTCACATCACATCCTCAAATTCACACTGCCTGATTCTCTTCGAAAAAGGCTCAAATCTTCTGACATGACAAAGCAATTAGTCTCAGTTACAAAGTTCAATATTTGTTATTGCTATAGCAGTAACCACTCAAGGAAACAGTGATAGCTAATAGCACTGCAGTTTGTTAACGGGGCTAAGCTTCTCAGTTCTTACCTTCTAACATGGAAATTGTAAAACTTGTGTGCCCCTCTAGATCAAGCACTGCTACAAAAAAATGCAAATCTATTGCAGCCTAACAAACAACTTTGCTGATATTATCTTTACAGTGCCAGTGTCATTCCACCAACAGCAGCCAGCTCTGCAGCTCTGTAACCCAACATGACATTTCAGTGCAGCAGTTCTTCACCTCAGTGTCTTTGTTCCTTAATCAGCTGCTCCAGAAAGCTAAAAAACATGCATGAAGTTCTGTGTTGATTAGAAAGCAAGGACAAAACTCATTCAGGGAGGACTGAATTTAACAACCCTGAGGTCAGTTCTGCATAGCACACACTGTTCCCATTCCCCTGCTGCTAACATTAGGAGACCTTCCAGCAGATGTTCCAACCCACAGGATTTAAATCCCCGTGGAAAGCAGATGTGCAGACTTGTCTTTTTTGAAAGAAAGGCACTCCCGAATGTCACTCTAGGCATACTGTTTTCCTTTCAGATGTAATTCTGGTATACTGCTATCCTAGAACCATCATTACAAAAATTCCAGAGTGTCCTTATGGATGGGAGGTCAATCAGCTGGCACTTGGAGGCATTTGTTACAATGGGGTCCATGATTCAGGATATTACCAGTTCACAATTCCAGACCTGTCACCTAAAAATAAATCATACTGTGGGACGCAGTCAGAGGTAAGACTTTTAGACCAATGTTTCTGACCAAAGCTCAGCCTGAGCAGGGTTCAGGAATTGGCTGGATTCACTTGAAAGAGTCCTTTTGGTTCCAGTGGGCTTTAAATACTGATGAAGAGAGGGCAATTTGGGTAAAATCTACTATCTCTTTGTAGATATAGAAGAAGAAGGAATTAAATAGTCACGCTCTGCATCTACTGGCAAAATGCACACAGGTTTAGTGCTATTAGCCTGTGTGCCTGTCACCCACTTGTATACATACACAGAGTATGAAAAGCTACAAAACCATGTTTCTTTAGGAATGCTGTTTTGTCACAAGGTTGAATCCTCATATTTCAACACGCCAGGTCACCTGGTGCCTCAAATGGTCACTGTTGCATACATGTTTCTGTTTTCCCACCTACAGTTTAAGAACCCTGTTTATCACTTCTACAACTCCATCGTTTCCAATGACTCCACAGTGATCGTGAAGAGCCAGCCTGTGAATTACTCATTCACCTGCACATACAATGCCAACTACTTGGTGAACCAGGCTGCCTTTGACCAAAGGTAAGCCTTGGTCTGGCAATGAGGCTCACTCCTTTTTTAAACCCCACGTTTCACTCATACAGAGCCATGTGGTTTTTACATCCCTAGGGTGGCCACCGTCCATGTGAAGAATGGGAGCTCTGGCTCATTTGAAAGTCAGTTATCCCTCAACTTCTACTCCGTAAGTGTTCTTTGTCACTCAGCTTTTTGCCTTCACTTACCACAAACTTCAGCAAGAAAAAAGGGCTGCTGCTCCTGACTTCTGCATGTCACGGAGCACATTACCAGCCCACAGCAGATCATTACAGCGTGGTTTGTACAGGTCCTTGTTTCCAGTGATTAACAGGAATGTGACTTAAACCGAACAGAGAAGACACATGCCAACTGTTCGTCCAATTCCTCCATATGTGGCAGCTTTTTTCTGCTGACTGGTACATTTCTAACATGCTGACAAGTTTTATAAAGAAAAAAGCGAAACTTGTTGGTAGCCTCACTCAAAGAGCAGTAGCACGCACCTACAGAGACACAGCCACTATGACATTGTCTCTGTAAGACTAGAAAAGCTCTGCACGTCCCTTGCAGCCTGCTTCCTTGTCCTCTCATCTGGCAGACATTTCATGTTCCCCAGAGATCCTGCTGGAATTTTGCTTCCAGCTTCTGTCCCTGGATATCAGACTGATCTTTTGAAGCATTCCTCTCCTCCCCACAGCTACTTCATGCTGCTCCTGATCTTTTCCCATCAAAGCACACTCTAAAGCACCAAAGCAGACAGAAAAAGCACAGCTACTTCATTTATGCACCCTCGATGTGACCAGCCCCATTCCCACTCCATACACTCATCTTCAGTGCCCCACAGCAGTTCACAAGGGCAGCAGTCTCAGGCCCACTTCCCACACATGCTCTCATTCTGCACATCCCAATCAGCAGCAAATTCTGCCACTTACTGCTATTACAAGCCAGACATCACCAAAATTGCAATAGTCCTACTACTAAACACAGATTTTGGAGCTCACAGGTGGTAAGTACCCAGGCTTCTGGAGCCCACCTCTCTAGACCTGTCTGAAGTTGCCATATGCCTCTGTTTTGCATATGTAATGTTTGCATCTTTGCATATGTTTTGCATATGCATATTTGTAATGTATGATGCTTTTTTCTCTCTCTTTTCCCCCCCCCCTCCCCCCCCCAAAGAATGCCAAGTTTTCAAGTATAAAAGAAGCCCCTTTTGTCGTTGAAACATCAGAAATTGGTTCTGACATATTTGCTGGAGTGGAAGCTAAGGGCTTAAGTGACAGGTATGTGAAGAAAGGGATGACAATAAATTGGTAATTGGGATGCTGTGCGCTGATTGGATGCTTTTGCCTCCCCAGGTTCAAAGTTGTTCTCAACAACTGCTGGGCAACACCCTCCTCAGAGTACTTCTACCAGGTGCACTGGCCTCTGATCACCAAGGGGTAGGTGCTGGTGGGCCTGGGGAGCTGCCCTACTGTTTCCCAAGCACACAAAAGTAGGAAGTGGCCCAAAGCTGGGGAAATGCCTTCACCAGACCGTGACCTGAGGACAAAATTCACAAGTCAAGATCTGACATTTCTCCACATACAATACAGGTGTGCCTCGGACTTCTCCATTATCGTCCACGAGAATGGGAAAACAAACCGTGCGACGTTTCAGTTTAATGCTTTCCGCTTCCAAAACATCCCCAAGCTGTCCAAGGTCTGGCTGCACTGCGAGACGCACGTGTGCGACAGCGAGAAGTTCTCCTGCCCAGTGGTAAGGCTTCCCTCCAAGAGAAACACACAGAGCTAATTTCAGACAGAGGGTGATCCGGGGGCACGCCAGGTGAAGAGCAGGCATTAGATAGAGACATCACTATGCATTAACCCGAGTGGTGGGCTGTGCACCCTGATCCCTATCATGCCATGGGCACTGCGTGCAGCATTGAGCAATTTGTTTGGAGGTATTGAGAAATAATGCAGTCATTTTAAGACCTCAGTTTTTGTCAACATTGCAGACTACTGCTCCTGTTTGGCAGACAGCTATAGCTAAACAAAAGCCTAAAAAAATATGAGAAAGTAGAACACTTGCCAGTGCACCATATATTTCAGTGCTGAGGGCAACCTAGTTCAGAGCTTGCCTCTGCTCAAATAAAACCTCCCAGATCTTCTTCCTAGAGAAAGTTCATCTCTGCTACCCCACAGCAAGTTACTATTATTGGAGCTGTCTTCCTCTGCAGGAAATACATAAGCGGTCATTGGAGCAGGAACACTGGGATCATAGAGCAGGTTTCTGCAGCCTTAGGTGAGAATGAGAGGGAAGATGCTATGCAGGCATGCTATTTTGCATTAGGATCATGTACCAATCACACCAACTGATGCAAGGGTTACTAAGCTATCTTTCTTTAAAGACTTTTCTACCTCCTTCAGGAAGTCAGGGCTTCATTATTCCTTCTCTTAGCCCCTGATTATGTCATTGCCATAAAGTGAAGTTGAATTTTATTTCATCTGAAATGAAAGCCCCAAATACTCCTTGGCCCACAGACAACTGTATCAGCAACAAAGATTTTTTTGCTGAAGAAGAGAAAACATAGTTGTTCATAATTGTTCAGTTGTTCATAACAATTCTTCTTTCTAAACCCCTCCTCACTATTGGTGCCACTATAAGATAGCGGCCTATTACCCAGTACCAGCACTAAATGGGGGGCACTGGCTTGTGCAGAAGCCACAGGTCTGATAAAAATACATTATTAGAAATCTCAAGTTTCAAAGGCGAAAGAAAAAAAAATACAGGATTAGATTTTGTTCTTTGTTTTTAAAGGCTTTTTTAAACTTCTTATCCAGTCGCATATCAGGGTGAAAAGAAAACATCACACAGTACTCCGATAAAGACCTTGTCAGCTGTAACAAGAGATGTTAGATCTGGATAGATGATGATCTGAATGGAAGGGATTTGGTACTTCCTCTTCATATTCAATGAAGAATAATTACAATTACAATAAACAACAACAGAAGTCTTCACAGAGGTCATAGGTTAAATAGATGGAGCTCAGCTACCCCTTTCCTCTCCTTGACAGGAGGCTTGTTTGAAACTGCATGGGAAGAGCAGCCCACTGGCAGCCACTATACACACCAAAATCCTCATCCAATACACAGCAAAAGCTCTCCTTGAGCACCAAAAAACCCCAGTGACTACAGAAAAATAAAAAATGGTCCCTAGAAAACACCAGGCAAAATTGATACAGACTTCATTTACTTGATCGAACACGTGAGAATTGGATTTGGATGTGCACATAGGTATATTAATTTTGTGGGGTATACATGGCTTTCTCTTTGATCCCTTAGACATGCGACAAACGAAAGCAGCGCATGGAACAAACCGGAGGTGTTTTAGTGGCGGAGATCTCTGTGCGCAGTAAGTGGCCGGGTTCCTGGGGTGGTGCTCCCTTTGGGAAGCAGCGAACCTCTATGCTGGGGGTTGTGACAGATTGGCTCAGTTGTATAAATAATATAGAGATGTTATAATTATGAAATAAACCAGACAGTTTGGTTAAATGGGTTACAATAACAAAATAAGAAATAGATAGAATGCTTACCCACGTCCTGGGCTCGCTGCAAAACTCCAGAGGAGGGATTTCCAGAAGAGATCCTTTAAGAGTCAGCTCTTAAATAGGTCTAGGAGAGGTGGAACCAGGCTCCATCCCTTCCGGCAGCACAGGTGAAGGCAATTCACCTGTGCTCCCATGACTGACTCCTTGCTCGCCTCAGGTGATCAAGCAGAGGTTCAGGCCGTTATTCAGCAGCTCCCCTACACTCAGTGAAACTCTCTTCATTTTCAAAGTGAGTAGATGCACCCATCTGGCATTAATGATAAGTGACCAAACCATTTCCACAGGAAGTTAGCAATGTAAATCCTGATCACCCAAATTTGACCTCAGCAACAGCCCAGACAATCTCTGATGGGATGCATGTGAGTGGGAGAGAAGCCAGGCTCAGGAGCAACAGGAAAGCAGCACTGAGGCTTTCTTTGCACTTACAGTGGGTTCTTCACAGTAACCAGAAATCCAGCAGGTCAACCCTACGTGCCTGTCACTCCTAATGTGAACAGCCATCAATCCTTCCCACTACAAAGCAAAATAATTTTCTTCCAGCTGCTGCCCCCTGGCAGCAGGAATTTCTCCCTGAGCTAGTTTGGTTCTGCAGATCCCGCAGTTTTGGATACAAGTCCTTGGAACAAGCTACGGCTTAATCATGCTTTCACTAAAGCCTTTCATACTGGTTTCACAATCACATCCACACCATCCTATTAGCCAACATAACTTACAGATACATATGGAGCGACATTATTGACAACCAGAAGGTTGCACCACTTCAAACACCACTAATTTTATAAAATTAAAGAACTGAGAGGATTCTTTTACAACTTCAGAGAGTAAAACCAAGAGGAAAAAATACCCAGAATTTCCAAGTGTGGCCAAATTATCTGCTTTCATAGAGCACGTTAGTGCACTTTGCCCTATTTAAAACATGCCATTCAAACGTTATCTTTTTCTCTTATTTTACTTTACAGACAAAGGTTTATCCAGATTTTACGTGCTCTCAGGTAAGCAGCAAAATAAAACAATGATTATATCAATCCCAAATATGCATCCTGAGTGGCTCTGTCAAAGTAAACTCCATAGCTCAAAGAAAGATTTGGTAAATTTTATAATTTTGACAGAAGGAAACATTTGAAGATCAAATCTTACCTCTCTTTGCTTTCCTCCTGTAGGCACTTCCTTCAACCTAGACAATGAAATTGTATCAGTAACTTTCGATACTGAACAGTAATTTCTCTTCTTTCCACGCATTCTTCCCAAAAAGGAACAAACATGCTTTGCTGGGTTAACAGAGATGCTTGGAAAGCAATTCTATTTGGAACTTGTCTGAAAGCCTTTTCAAAGCTTGTTTGCCAAAACCTGGTACAGTGACAGAGCCACATAAAGGCATGTAGTATTTTGGTAAGGGTGGGAAGAAAACATGAAAGGCAGCTGATGGTGAGTACTCACATTTAGTCTTTTTTTTTTCTTTTGCAGATGTTATCTTCCACCTGTTCTTCGCGATTGGCTTTTGTGCCATTTTATTATAAAACTCAGCTTAGCTGCGTTTCTTAACAGTTCCCAATCCTGGACCGGGACTTCTTTACTAAAGATGTTTATTTTACAGGAGAAAAATTAAAGTCACCAACAATCCTTGTGCACTGTTTCACCAGATCAATAAACCATTCCACGAGCCTTGTGTCTCTAGTATTGGAGAGCCCCAAAGCAGCTGTGTCCCTCCCAGATCCATGCAAACATTTTAAACTAGGGAAAATAAAACAGCTATGTATTTTACTGATGCCTCCTCTTACAGAGCTGTGATGCCAATAGTATTTGTTTCTACACAGAACATAAGGATATTCAAACTCTACATTTTTCACTGCCAAATTTCCCTTCAGCATCCCCATACCTTATCATCCTCAGTGTTGTATCAGACTGCCCTTCAGGCCTGGTCTGCCAAGGCCATGAACACTTCACCTTGATCTGTAGAGCCCCTCAGTGCTAAAAAACCAACCTAGTAGTTAGTCAACAATGGCAGAAAATAGTGCCTTCTATGAAGCAATAGTTCAGAAGTCCTAGGAATTACCTGATGTTTCTTTCCTGTTTCTCACCATCGATTGGATGGGTGAAGTAGAGCTCAGCACATGCTGCAGTAGGTATGATGCTCTTAGAACCAGGCAGCCTTGTGACTGGACAGGCTTAGCTCTGAACATCCATTGTATGGATGTGAAGTAAGCATGTCTGAGGCTGGAAAACAAGGTAGTGAGCTTTAGGATGCATCCTTGGAGACAGATGGTGTCAGACACAGCAAGGTCCAGGTGCTAGTTCCTGTATCTGAGGAGAAATCAATAGAAAGGGAAACAATGATTACTGAAGAGCAGGACATATCAGGGCATGAAACAACTTTCCAGCAAGTAATGGTAGGTATCTTACTTTCTGTAACTGCTAAAACAATACTCAGCAAAACATCTGAACATGTCAGGTAAGAAATATTCCTAGGCATTTTCCATGAAACTTTTGGTATCCTAATGGTGACAGCAAGAAGAATTACTACAGCTGTTACTACAGTTACGCCCTTTCCAAGCTGCCATATAGAAATAATTTTCTCTCCTCTCCAATTCTGAAGGCACTTTCTAACTTGAAGCATGGTGAACACAGTGATGCTACCTCAACCCCTCACTGGCTTCAGGCTGTAAAGAGATGTTGGATTTCTGCAAAATAGCCTCCTCAGAAGTGGGAACCAAAAGGATCACAAACATCTTCAAGCAGCATCCCTATGTCCCTACATTAGCTGCTCTTTTGTTTTCTTTGGTATTCTAAAATCCACGTTCCATAACAGATTGAACTGTTTTTGAAAAGAGGAACAGCCCTCTGTGAGCATCATTTTATTACACAGAAACCACCACTCTAAATATGAAAGTTCCCACATAATTATATTAAGTTTCTTCAGCTCATTGTGCTTTTTGAAATAATTACAAAGATAATACATAGCTGGTTCTCTATTTGCTCCTCTTGGTGTAATTTCAATATATTTATAAAATACAGATGTATTCATAAAAATGGAGAACAAAGCTGGTTGAGGTTGAGATTCTAGCAGACAGCATCCATCCTGCCAGCCCAAACGGTCAGCTCTGAAGGAGTGCATTTAGTCATTACGTACAACAGAGGGCACTCTCTTGACAGTATTGTCCGATTCAAACGACGGTTCAAAGAATTGTTACTGTGAGGCAAGTCTTGGTGGCACAAATGTGCCACTAGGCAGAGCAGAGCTATTGTACATCTTGTGAATCATTCAATATTTTCATCAGAGACCCCGCAGCTGCTTCTCCTCCATTTGCTCTCTTTTCCCTCTTCCCAATAACACCCCAAATTTCAAAACCTTCTACCCAGCAGCTTCATCTCTTCAAATTCTCACTCTCCACACAAGATTAACAGCATGACTTCTCCAAAGCTTGTTTCTTTTGCTTGCCCTTTGCAGCAGCCACTCTCCTCCTCCAGTCGTGGCTATATTGTGCAGAAACCCTTGAGCTGAGCACCCTTGAGAGGATGATTAATTTTCTTCCTGATTATGCAATAACTTTTTCATTGGAACAAACCTTGCATGATTGCAGTGTGCCTCCAAATTCCCAGGCTTTCTCCCTGCCCACCGTGGGATGGAACCTCTGGGCATACATACCTCCCCGTGGTTACAGCACTGCACTGAATGTGGTCCACCCAGGCAGCTGGCTGTGGGTGCAGGATGGGCAAAGCCCTGTCACCAGTCCAAGTTTGGATCACTGTCACTCTACAAGAATCATTTCTTGATAAATAACAGTAACTATAATAATACAGCCCCCAGAGGTGACTGTTAAAAGACCTGTCCCAGAATACAGTACCATATGAATAGGTTTCATCTCTAGAAGCGACTTTATTACTATTATTTAAGGTAGCACAAGTTGTCCATACTAAAAACCTTGCTTAAAAAATGTACTATACTTCACTTACATTTTTATTAACCTTTCTTAATAATATTTACTGAGCTAAACAATATTTCTTTTCCAAAATTCAAAAATACATGTGTTGCAAATGGTTTTAGTGCAAGGTAATACTTGATAAGCTTCTTAATTTCAGATGAACTGTAACTCCACATCTTGTTCAGCTGTTAGAGCATGAAGGTGCTTGCCTAGATCTCTGCATCTGCATGTGAAACTCAAGGCCATTCATGGAGATGCAGGGAAAGGGAGGTTAGTTACAGTGAACACAGATAATCTGTTTAGAAGCAGATTTACCCAAAGGTTACAATTTGTCCCAATTCCTCCTATTTGAACAAACTCCAAAGGAGTAAGAGATTTTACATGTTTATCACGTTTAGTCATTGTAAAGATGACACATAAGGCCACCAAGGTCATGGCAAGAATCAGAAGAGCCAGAGAACACACACAGGTATCAAAATAACACAGGTTGTAGCACAATAGTGCTAGCACAGTGACATTTACACAATACTTTGGTCATTATATATAGGTCACAATTCTCACTTGTGAATGGTAAACACCATTAGCTGTGATGGCCTTTGGCAGTCGCTGCATATGCAAATAAGAAATAAGAAGGTCCAAGAGAAATTGCCAATAAAAGAGTGAGTCATACCTAACAAAATGTTCAGGAGTACATAGCAGCAAGCATGCCATCTGCAGCTTCTTTCCAGCCTGGACGCTCTATACTCAGCACAGCAAGGCGCTAAAGTAAGAGACATCCTGAGCTGTCAGAGCTGCACTGTACCCTACAGCTTGTAGATCAGCACGCTTTCCAATACGTTTAATTTTTATTCTGTCCTTCAAAAGCAATTGTGTAAGACGTGCTCCAGTTCTGAATTCTGAGATAGATGCTGTTAAATGCCCCTATACAAAGCCCACTGGAATGCAAACAGCTTTTCTGTCTGAGCAACTGGGTCTCCAGCCTTCCCAGGCTGGTTCCACACAGAGCAGCCTGTGCCTCCTCTCCTGCTAAATTCTCTCTGTGTGTGGTTTCATCCACATTAACAGCCTCCTCCCACAGACTGGCTCCTTGTGGAGATTTACAGACCATGACACAAAACACCACTGGTAGGGATCCCATTCTGCTGTAAGTTAGCCTTCCTTCCCTGCTTATGCTCACCTGCTCTTCTATTCAGAAAATAACATCAATATTTTTCTTCTCACAATGGCATACATCAACAGAAAGATTCAGGACGTGTGTCAAGGTGACCTAATTTTAAAGAGATTATTAACTCACCATAGATAGCATGGACTTGTCAGCAACATGGCCCTGAAATATGTTTTGAGAAGATCCTGCAGGTTTAAATCACTCTATCCTTTTCCATAAGCACACTCAGCAATGCAATATCCAGATGATGCGGTACTGAGTGATGGGAATGGGGAACACTGATCCTATCCTTGGTGAGTGATAAAGCCAATGTCTAATGCTAGAGCAGAGGTCTTGTTGCTGTGAAATGTTTGCTCTGCAGCATATATTTACACACTGATTATTCAGCCCTGATACGGGTTTTCTGAGCACATTTCATTGCCTTAATGCCCAACACTTCTACAGCAGCTTTTAAGGAAAACTTCAAAATACTCCAAAAACAGTAACTAATCTGAAAAACTTAATCCTCCCTCTACAAACTGAGGAAAACTGAAGCAGAAGGGATGAAGCCAGCAGATCAAGTCCGACTCCAACTCAACCTAGACACAGGGAATGTTACTTGAATAAAAAAAATAGTCATCAAGGAAAAATAAGTGGCCTGACCTGATATCTGAGTATGAGTTATGAAATCAGAAAACTTGCCAATTTTGTATTTGTTTCATTTGTCTTAGAAAGAGATAACCCATGCATACAGAAAATCAAGAGAACAAATGTAAAGGTTGTGATAGACAATTAATTATCTATCTGGTAATCTACAATAACAACCCACGAGCACCAATAGCAAACAGAAGGTAAAATTCAAAGGTTAATCACTTGGAATCTTATACCAACAGGTTCTACCTCACACTTGCAATAGGTGTATCATTATGCTTCAGTGGATAGCAATTTCTTACCCTCTGCTGCACCCAGACCTCCACCTCTGGTTCACCAACAACCAGACCCAGTCTGTTTACTTGTGCAAATGCCAATAACACAGTCTCAGCTCCGGGCATGGAGCATATCTCACAAGAAATCACAGCCATCAGGAATTTCAAAGGCATCACAGCTATTTCTTCAGTGCAGTTGATCCCATTGTGGATGAGCTGGCTGCCAGACACCATATAGGCATCATCAGCAGTTTCTACCTTCATCAAAATCAACAATGAAAAACCTACTATTCTTATTAGATATACTACAGGAGGGGTATAAGACCAACTTCAGCCTACTTCAGAGATGATTCAGACCAGAAGACTAAGCATAAAACCAGGAGTTAAGATGCCTTTTCTCCACTAATTTCAGTGCTCTCTTCCCAAAAGCCACTTGCTTTGTGGTTGATGGAGGGAGAAATAAAGTTAATGGATCTATGTCTGAGAAGAAAACAGAGAACCAAACTTTGCAGCTCCACCAGTGTTTAAGCAATAAACTACAATCCAGTGAAGTTGAAAAGGAGGAAAAAAAAGGATAGTTTTTTTGTGATTTGTATTTCTTGTTCATCATCTCTTTCATTTGTCCAATGTTTCATTATTTTGGAAATAGGCAGAAGTTACTGAAAGCTTTTTCCAAACTTTAATAAA